AAATGTTCAGCAGCGCCAGCTCCAGTAAGCGACACTGTCCCATAATCTCTCAAGGTTTAGGAATAAAAAGTTGCTTAAATTGACTTTTTTCTCCGGTTGCTTGTTTCACAGACCAGCATCCTTCGGGCTACGACCTGGGCCCCCAACCGGGGGACAAGCCTTCTCATGGAGATGATGGGGGCCATGGTCGTAGTTCTGACCATGGTCATGATGGTCACCATGGAGACAAGCACAAGGATGATCATGGTCATGAGGGAGACCACGGAGACAGTGGGAGGAGGAACCGGGATGACCGGGATCATGATCGGCATCGTGATCGGGATAGTGACCGACATGATCGGGATCATGATCGGGATAGTGACCGACATGATCGGGATCATGATCGGGATAGTGACCGACATGACCAGGATCATGACCGTGATCATGACCGGGATCATGACCGTGACCGACGTAGCCCTGACCATCATGGCGGTGGCCATAGAAGCCCTGGTCGAGATCGCAGACGCAGACGTAGTGGGAGTGGTCACAGAAGTGGCAGCGGTAGTCGAAGCGGTAGCCGTGAACGCGGCCACGGTCATGGCCGTGGTCACGGCCATGGTCGGGGGCGTGGACGTGGTGGACGCTGGTAACAGTAGGTGAGATAAAAAAAAAAAAAAAGTTTTTTCTTTCTTCAAAATTAAAACCACTTCCTGTGTCCTGATCATGATCTTTGCTTTGCTTTTGTGGACCAATCAATATGTAACCTGTAACATCATAACAAAGCATTATACAGAAACAACTCTCAGACAGCAAATGAAAACGCCAAACCAATCTTTGTTGTTTGTCTTCCAGGCTGATCTTCATCAACCAGAGAGGAAAAAAATCAAAAACGTTTTCTTTTTATTACCCGAAACCCTTTAAACCTGTAAATGTAGTTCTGGTGAATTTCTTCACCTTTTGTGAGACCACTGTGTGTAAAGGAAATGCATAAATCAGTTTTGGTTTGATGTAATAAACTTCTATTTTCAATCCACATGAGTATTTATTCATAAATGCATGAATAATTTGAATAGATGTCAATTTTAAACACCATGTTGACGCTGTTGCTGTTAGATAGGATTACAGAAGAGAATATTTCCTTTTCACCCTGCGGCTGTAGCTGCACCCCTGGGTGGGGACAGCTTAACTCAGGTAACAGACATGGTTGCAGAGCAGCTTTAATTAGCCCCAGGCAGAAATTCAAGAGGGAAGTGTCACTTTCTTGTGGTTTAAAGAAAAACCCCAAAATGAAAATTAAAAACAATCCTCTGGACTTTGTTTCTAAGTTTGAAGAAGTTTCGCTTCCCATCCAGGAATTCTCCCAAATTCAAAATGTCAGGAATAGCGTTTAATTTGATGTTTTATGCAGTAGCATCCCATCCCAAGGGGGTGGAGTCCTTCGTCCGTTTCTATTTGCATGTTTCCAAAACAAAAACAAGGCTTTGTTGGGCTACTGTATAAAACCTCAAACTCAAC